GCGCACCACAGCTGGCGGTGGTGCAGGGTGGTCGACCCCCCCCCACTGTTTTTAGTTTTGTTTTTGACGTGCTGCACGTTTCTTTCACTTTTGCAGCTTAATAATAAAAACTAATAGTTTAGTTTTTCCTGTGACTTATTTGCAGTATGATAAATGGTAGGAGCATAATATATGCTCCCAAAGTTTTTTGTTGGTCTTTTTTTTTAATAAATAAAGAACTTTTTTGCAGATTTATTTATTTATTTATTTTTGTATCTTTAGATCCTATGTCATCAAGTACTCGAGTTCTACTCGAGTTTTATTATGTTAATGTTGAGTTTAAAAATTATGTAGTCGTTCAACCCCTAGTACACACCCCCACTCAGCCCGGTTTATGGAACCACCTTGTTCATGGTTCCAAGAAAACTGCTCCGAGGTTTTATTTCTGACGTAAGCAGCAGTCGTTGATTGGCCAGCAGAGCTACGCCGCTGAATGACCTGCCCAGCAAAACTACAAACTTCATCTGAACCTCCATTTCCTTTCATGTTGATGGATGTAGCCACAAGAAATGAACACATTTACAGAAATATCAAAGATGATGGTGCAGCATGGCTACACCCGGACTTATAACATTGATGATCCTGCCCACAGAGCAGGGAAACAAGTCACAGTGGCAAATCACCTACACCTCAGAAGAACCGATGAGATGAGAGCAGAGTGGAGTAGCACTGATCAATGGCAGAGCAGCTTACAGTAAGTGTTTGCTTATGCATATGCAGATTTAACAACAATAAAGTGTGATACAATCTGTTTCACATCAGCTGGCACCAAAGCCTGACATTTTCAAAAGTGCACTCCGGTATATTAAATTATCTATGTTGGAGTGTATAATTGTTTAGCCATGTTGAGAAAAGTAGACATGCCAAGCACAGACTCTAGATATAGCGTACAGTATGCAATGAAGTGGATGCCGCTTGTATGAATTACAGAGAACTTTGAACCTTGTTTGGTTGTATTTGTAGGCAAACACAATAAACTAAATTATTTTAGGAGCTCAATGCACACATTTTTAATTTTCTTCTGTCTTTAGATTTGGGGATAAAATCTAGAATTCTTTCATTCAACCTTTATTTAAACAGGTTAGTCCCACTGAGCCATGAGGACTCATTTACAAGAGAGACCTGAATGACCAGGCCAAACCAAGATGACACTGACAACAATAAAAATGTAAATAATTATAATGAACTTTTACAAATAAGCTAATCTTAAATTTAAAACAGTACTCCAGTGGAATAAACCATACTGAGACAGCTGCCAAGGCAGGTACGAAGTAGGCTGATTTGAACTTGAAGTGGGTGGAGGGGAACATGAAGAAATGTGGCAGACATTTTCTTTTTACAATAATTTAAACATTAAGCAATGTTTAATTTGTTAAGCAAATAATATCAGAATGCAAAAATCAGGGGTTGTCTGGGGGTCCTCTCCCAGAAAATTCTGAATAAATCAGATGCTATTTCCTGCATTCTGGTGTATTTTAATGGGTTTTTAAACACTGCCTTCATGTGCTTCAATTCTCGGTTGTTTAGTTGTACAATGAGGTTTTTTTTTAAGAAAGTAAATTGGACCGTCTTTTCAAAATTTTGTTCACTTATTTTGACAAAATGGCGCCACTGTTTTGATACGTGATGTACGCAACGTATGTGGTTACCCATCAAACATTTCTCTCTAATAAATAATCAAAATTTTATTAACGACTCACTTAAACTGTAAAACTGATTTACAATTTAATTGTGCTGTTTAATTATATTATGTTTTTAATTAAATTGCCCATGACTGTACTTTTCGGGGCAGAGATTTTTTTTTATGAGTAGAAGGACAATGTTACTTGAAGGTGCAGCTCTGATGTGATATTATGACGCTCGTAAGCGGCTGTTGTGTTTAAAATTTGTGTTTAGGTAATTGTTTTCAGATTACAGATTACATCCATCCATTATCTTTTACCCGCTTCTTCCATTTTGGGTCACGGGGGTCACCGGTGCCCATGTCCATATCCAATATACTGTTATTTTAATTCATTCAAGTCAGTCAAATTTGTTCATAACTTTATTATTAGTGAGCCTGAGAGTTACCAGATCCAAACAAACAGTTACCAGAACGTACCTTGTCAAAATAAGAGAGTTCCCAGATCCTGTTCCAGCAGTATCCAGCTCAAATTAAGTCCTGCCCAAAGTATAGGTACGTGGTGACCAAATATGCAAAAGTACAACCTGGCAGAAGTATAAGATGACCTGCAGGCTATTGTGATTGAATCATACTGTATTGTTACTACTTTAGCTGCTTATGTATCTTTAATAGGTCAGGATATTACACAAAAGTCTGTTGGAGTCAGCCTCCCCACCATCACAGACATCTACACCTCTAGATGCAGGAAGAGGGCCACCTGCATCATGAAGGACCCCACTCACCTAGCACACACACTTTTTTTGCCCCACTCCCCTCGGGCAGGAGGTTCAGGAGCATTAAGTGTAGAACCACTAGACTGAGGAACAGATTCTACCCTGAGGCTGTTAGACTCATGAATCTCTAACCAGGATAATAACTGTGGGAAAAAAATCACTGTAATGACACTTTGATTGTTGATATGTGCTGCTGACTATCCATGCTGCAGATCTTATGCTGCTGATTTATTTCATGCTGCTGTGTTCATTCGTACTCATCTGCTCACACAGACTCATGTTCGTGCTGCTGTTGTTCGGCGTATTGCTTTGCACTATTAGTGCTTAGTGTATTCTTAGTTTAGCGTATTTCTTAGTTCATATCTTAGATCTTATCACTGTTTTTCTTTTACAATTTATACTTTGTTGGATGTAACTGGGACTCTGTGTACACAATTTTGTTCCACCACATGTACCACATGCAATGCGAATGACAGTATAAAAAACCTTGACCTTGCCCTATTGGCAGTGTGTCAAGGAAATATATTGCATTAAGCAAAACATGGCAGAGAAGCTACATAGAATTCCACACTGATCTATTTGATTCTTTTGGTACTCTAGCCGAGTGCACTTAACATGTTTTGCTTTGCAATAAATGTTTAACACAAAGAACTTTAAAAGCGCTAACTATTTTAATTGAACAACTGCACTTTGCAATTATTAATCCTGTATCTAAACAGATCAAGAAAGTAGATGGGAAAGGCCAGAATGGGTGACGTTTCCACGCTGCAGTCAGATGAACAACCACCTGCCTCTGTGCTGAAGTAGCAGGTGTTGCAACGGAGGATACTGTTACAGTACACAGCATCCATCTGGGCGTAAACATGGCTGAGAAATCAAAAGGAATTCAACACCACCACTGCAAAAAGTCTGCTCTTTCATGTCCCCTTTCCCTCATTGCCTTTGTAGATGTTTCACTTTTATTGCCTGTTACTGTAAATGATGGCACTGAGCTGGGAACCTTTTTTCACTCAGTTCTACATGACTTAAAAGCAGAGCAAAATGTCCTGTTAGTAGCAAGTGGACTCCATCTTTTAAATGGGGCAAAGATATCACATATTCATTATAAAACTCTACAACAGTAACACCTATCCATGCCACGTGTTGTTACCGCAAAAATGACACTAGCTATAAATAGAATCTCAAACAAAATGTATTTTGACATTAATTGTAAAAAATAAAGCACAAACTTTTAAACAAAAGAATGTAATTTTACAAAAATAAAGAAATAAAGAGGATGTTTAAGAAAATTAAACTAGCGTTCCTTGAAGGAATGCACTTTGGTTCTGAACCTGCACCACACTTTTACCTACACGGTCACAGTTGGCAGCGCGGTCTTGGACAACGCTTCTGATAATCACAACTAAAAACAAAATTCTTGGATATAACGTCCAATTGATAAATGTTGTAGAAGTTGCTTCACACCAAAAATGCAAAAAAGTTGTAAGTCTAAGAATATGGGTAACAGTGTTACATGGTATGACAAAGATCAGGTGCCTGCTCTATGATTAAACTGTGTTATGTAAAACATGACAAACACGTTGCATCATACTGATAGAATCTGTGTCTGAACCACACATTCCTTTATGTACAGTGAGGAGTTCATCAGTCTACATGAAGGTATGCTGTGCAGATTATTGAAGCAAACTCCATGTTAATGTGATGCTGAGGCATGAATATGACTTGAGTTATCAATCAGTTAGGCCTGTCACGATAACAAATTTTGCTGGGCGACTGTCTCAGAAATTATTGTGATAAACGATAATATTGTTTGAAATTTGACAATAATTAGTAATTATTGTCAAATTTAAGAAGAAATGTTTATTTGTTTTGCATGTAGTACCTTTTTTGACCACTGGATGGCAGTATAAGACTGGTTGAACTGAAGGATGGATTGTGAGGGAGTGAGCAGTGTGTCTCTTTAAGAAAAATGGGAGGAAGGTCCCTTGACGTGACATGGGCTGTCTCTCCTTCCTTTTTTTTTTTGGTTCTCAAAATGGCGGACGCTCGGTGTGGTTTGAGCTCTTTAGCATAGCATTTTTCACACAAAGCTTTTAATTAAAAAAAATCAGTAAACAAGTTCTCAGCTTTTTTTTGCAGAGAAAAACAACTTTTTACACGAAGGCACGAGTTTCAACCATGAATTTTGGAGCTTTGACAAGACGGAGGTTTTTCCTCGAGGTCGGCCTGTTAGCTTAGCTCATAGCTTAGCTTCTCAGCTTTAGCTGCTTTTAATGATTCAAAAACATGGTTTTGGATAATTAAAGTGGATTTTAAAGTGAAAAGAGAAAGGGAGAGGTCAATGAAGAGCACTGGAGTTGAGCCTTTTGTCATCCAATGTCTTCAGTAGAAAGAGAGAGACGCGATGAAACGATAAAGCCAATAAATGAAAATGAGGTTGATAATCTTCATTTATCATGCGATTGATTGATTGATTTGTTTATCGCGACAGGCCTAATCACAGTCACATTTGTCACTGTCATGTTTATCTAAAAGCTGGTGAGTAACTCAGAGAACGTCCTTACTTCAGCGTGGGGCTAATGGAAACAGACCACACTCTGTCAAACATGGCAATTGTTGCTCTAGGAGTGCTGGAAGTCAAGGTCCAAATCTAAAAACAAAAAAAAATAAAACGTCACATTTGCTTGAATACCATCTAATTCAAGTCATGATTAATAATTTGGGGCTTTTAATTTATTGGAACCATCTTCTTTCAAAGGTGAAATATTTATGCAACTATCTACTGTATGTGGATTAAAGAAAATCTAAAATGAATCTAAACTTTCATTCCAACTTTCATTTACATTTTTTTAAACAAAAATGAAAAAGGTCTAATCAAATCAAACTTGCACATCCAATTCTTGTTTTTAACACACAAGTTTTTGTGTAATCATTCCAGCCTGAAAAAAGAAAGTTCAACTCAATTATTAAAAGGCAGAATTTGATATGACAAGTCATTAATGTAGCGTTCCACTACAGTGGTGCTGGAAAGTTTGTGGACCCTTTATAATTTTCCATATTTCTGTGGGACAGCTGTGGCTGAGTGGTTAAAGGGGAGGGGGGGTGTCACACCAGGTACTGAAAGCAAAGGTTCACAAACTTCTACCACTTTTACTTACAAATATGTAATATTGGATCACTTTCCTCAATAAATAAATGACCAAGTATAATATTTTTGTCTCATTTGTTTAACTGGGTTCTCTTGATCTACTTTTAGGACTTGTGTGAAAATCTGATGATGTTTCAGGTCATATTTATGCAGAATGGTAAATGGACTGTACTTATATAGCAACTTTCTTATCAAGATTCTCAAAGCACTTTACAAAGCACCTCCTTCAACCCTATTATTCAGTGTTCTCCTGATGGTGGACTCATGAACATCAACATCAGTCAATGTGAGAGACCTTCAGTTGTTAGAAGTTACCCTGGTCCTTTGTGACCTCACAGACTATTCCACACCTTGCTCTTGGAGTGATCTTTGTTGGTCCACCACTCCTGGGGAGGTAACAATGGTCTTGACGTTCCTCCAATTGTACACAATCTGTCTGACTGTGGATTGGTGGAGTCCAAACTCTTTACAGATGTTTTGTAACATTTTCCATCCTGATGAGCATCAACAATTCTTTTACTGAGCTCCTCAGAAATCTACTTTGTTCCTCCATGATCCACTTCCACAAACATGTTGTGAAGAGCAGACTCTGATAGATCCTGTTCTTTAAATCAAACAGGGTGAAACTCACACCTGATCATCATCCATTGATTGAAAACACCTGACTCTAATTTCACCTTCAAATTAACTGCTAATCCTAGAGGTTCACATACTTTTACCACTCACAAATATGTAATACTGGATCATTTTCCTCAATAAATAAATGCACAAGTATAATATTTTTGTCTCATTTGTTTAACTGGGTTCTCTTGATCTACTTTTAGGACTTGTTTGAAATTCGGATGTTGTTTTAGGTCATATTTATGCAGAAATATAGAAAATGATAAAGGCTTCACAAACTTTCAAGCACCGCTGTATGTTTTCCAGTTCTCAGGTTTTATTTAGCAGCAAAAACAAAAAAACAAACTGTAATCTGGTCCTCCAACTAAAATGGTATAAAACAATAAAACTGATAATTGACAGACAGATTGTACTATCTTTATATTTTGATTATTTGCTGCAAAATGTTCAAAGGAAAGGCAATTAGAATAATTTTCCTACAACCAAAACCTTCATTTACACAGTAATAAATTATAAATAAAGAAATGTACAGGTGTTCTTACCCGGGCTGTTCGGTCTCTTGATCCACTGATGATGAGTCCATTCTTTGAGTCCAGGCAGTTAACCTCTTGGTTATGACCAGACAACCCCCATGACACATCACTTCTTCTACTATGGACCAGGATTCGGCCATCGCTAACAAACAAAGAAGATTGTTGGAGCTTCTTATGTCAGCTGGTTCAAATGGCAGGATGATATAAGCACTATATACTGTAGTACTGTATAAATAAAGGTTGAATGAACTATAGTAACTGCAATAAAAATATTAATGCTCTTCCTGTGTCATGTTGTCCGATTTATTTTGTCCCACAAGTTCAAACCTTCCTTCATTTTCTCAGGTCTTTCATTAAACGAAAACAATCAGGCAAAATGTTAGTGATCCCTCACCTATCATAAGGGTTACGTTCCAGAAACCCTAACAGTAGGTGAAAATCCATGAAGTAGTGGCATTATACTTGTTTTATTATGTACTTATATAGGTTTAAGGCTTTATAAACCCTTCCCACACTCCTACAAACCTTTCCTACTCTCTTATAAACACTTCATATGCTCTTAAACACTGATGGCGATGAAGATGATGATGATGAGATGAATGTACAGTCCTGCACAGTATGTGCCGGTACAGTACACACAATGCAAAAACCGGGTAAAAAAAAACTGTGATACAGTGAAGCCACAAAAATACTTATTAAATATTATATACTCTAACTTGCTTAAATGTACTTTCTCGATGACTGAGACAAATAAGATAAGAGAGAACTTTATTGATCCCACAGGAAATTTGCAGTAAATCTAAGTTCAGATTCAGAGTCAGAGATTCTTTATTGTCATTCGCACCTCATGTGGTACATGTGGTGGAGCGAAATTATGTACACAGGGTCCCAGTTACATCCAACAATAAAATATAAAAGAAAAACAGTAATAACATCTAAGACATGAACTAGGGAAAAAAAACTAAATATACACTAAACACTCATAACATAAAAACATTACGTCAAACTGCAGCACAAACATGAACATGAGTCTGTGTGAGCAGATGTGCACGCATGAACACATCAACATGAAACAGATCAGCAGCAACATGAAACAGATCAGCAGCAACATGAAACAGATCAGCAGCAACATGATGTGATTTTTCGCAGTGATTATTCTGGTTAGAGATTCATGAGTCTAACAGCCTCAGGGTAGAAGCTGTTCCTCAGTCTAGTGGTTCTACACTTAATGCTCCTCAACCTCCTTCCTGAGAGGAGCGGGGCAAAAAGTGTGTATGCTGGGTGAGTGGGGTCCTTCATGATGCAGGTGGTTCTCTTCCTGCATCTGGAGGTGTAGATGTCTGTGATGGGGGGGAGACTGACTCCAACAGACTTCTGTGCAGCCTTCATGCCACACATTGATGTCTTATAAAACTAAATTTAAACCACAATGTACTTAATTCTTCTCAATCTTCTCTTGATTTTTAAGTACTAGGGCGGCTGTGGCTGAGAGGTTGGAGCAGTTGACTGCAACGAGAGAGTAGGGGGTTGATTCCCCGTGCAGTCACAAGCCGAAGTGTCCCGAGGTAAGACACTGAACCCCTCATTGCCTCCGATGTGTGTCCCATCAGTGTATGAATGTGATAAAGCTCTGATTACTCTTTGTATAGATCTAGTAGAGTGCTGTATGAATGGGTAAATGAGGCACAGATTGTTGTAAAGAGTTTTGAGTGTCTTAAGAAGATAGAAAGGTGCTGTATAAGTACAGTCCACTTAACATTTTCCATTTACCATGTCAAATTTTCTTTAGTAAATAAGGGAGATCAAATACTACAGATACAAATATAACTGCAATTAACCAGCAAATGAAGTAAAAAGGGTACAACAAAAAAGGTTGAATCATGTCATCTGGACTTAGTTTTTTTTGTTAAAAAGAAACGTTTCGCCCCTCATCCAAGAGGCTTCGTCAGTCTGAGGCCTAGCCATCTGGTATTACCCAGAAGCCACCCTGACTCTTGTGTTTCAAGCCTGCCTCAGATACCCCTGAAGTCTGGCCTTTTCACTAATGGTTTCAAAAACACAAAGTTTGTTTTCTCAGTCATCCAGGTATATAACAACA